GGGTGAGAAAAATTCTGCGTAATAAGTAGAGATTATTTATCCATATTTTGTGAAAAAACACATTACCTATTACAATCTGATAACTGACAATTTGTAGGTTAGATACGAGACATGCTAATTCACAATTTAAAACACGATAAACTCAATATTTAAGCCAGAAATTCCTAGACAAAACTCACTACCGCTCGCTGAAGGGATTTCGTGGGAGCCTTGTGACGTCACTTACTTACGCCAATGGAAAAACGACGGAAATTGTGTGCGTTGCCGGCTTATGTTTGCGTACATGCTTTATTATAATGAAACCGAGTCGTGATTAGATTGTTTTTGTGGCGTGTGATAGTGCATCGATCTGCATTGCGGTCTGTTTAGAACCGTCTAATTTATTAGCATAAGCTGAATACGCGCCGCCACCACTTGTATCGATCGATCAACCCCTTCGGAACAACACCCGAGGAGCAAATCCACTCGACATTGCTTATTATCGGAGTTGTAAGTGCCGCAATTGTTGGCCAGGGAAAAATAAGAAACAATCGCGAGCACTTACAGCCCCGGAGGGAAGCAGAGGCCGTGGATGGCGTCAGCTTTCCCACAAAGGAAGAGATATGCAAACGTTCACGGTCATTTTTTTGTTCTTCGGGGTGGTCTGCCAACAGCGAAACAATTCAGAGAGGTAATTTTGAAACATGCGGAAACAATCACCTACGATAATCCCATCGCAACAACTTATTGTGGATGGTAAAGACCCTTTTATTCGAAACAATGAGAATACTTTGTTGGAATTTAATTAATAATTTCCGGGGATCGCGATAAACAATATGACGGCGTTTGAAGAATGTGGGCAATCCGAAAATTAATTTACTGAGAGGGTGTGGAACACAATAGTTTTATTAACCGATTTCTTTGCTTATATTATTACGCCCCCATAAAAGGCGAAATACTCATTTCGGAAAGATAAAAATCGCAGGTATATTCGGTTGTACAAATCTGTGATTAAAATAGATTTTAATCTGTCATTGGAAACATATTTGAGAGTCTAGTATTAAGAAGATGCTTAAGAAAAAATTACTGCTCTACGATTTTTGTTTTAAAAAGGCTACTTAAAAATAAACAACGTTCACAGTACTATATAATTTGGTCACAAAAAATCATCAGCATGTGATATTTGAAGATCAATATCTCTTTCTCACAAAGCCAATTGGTGTTTGTAATGTTACAACAAATTGCTCAGCATAAATAAACTAATGCATTTAATTGTTGGGAATCTTGAAACGTATTAGTACCGGACATTAAATTAAGCAACTTTTGAATATCATTTGATTTTTTTTACAAAATGACTAGTTACGACAGCAACGATGGTTTGACATGATTGTGAAACTGAGACAAAAACTGATTGCAGAACATGTAAACTTGGACAAATCCATCGTAAGTTGAATTATTAGTAAATTTAAGCAAGAGGGAACAATCAAAAAACGATTTAGCCCTGGTAGAAAAATGTCAGTTCTGGTGAATAAAAAGATAATAGGATATAGCAGGACTGCACCTACGACGACTGCACCTCAAATAAAAAAGGAGTTACAGTTGACAAATATCCCACAAGAACTTTCCACAGAAGGTTGTGTAGTAAAGTTGTAAGACAGAAATTTATTGAACTCAGTAAATGCCAGATTTCATCCAAAAAACACAAAGTCGGTGCACACGTTGTTTAAACGTAACGTTGCAGTATACAATGTGCCCAAATTTATTGCGAAATAATATCAGATATGTAGAAAAGAACTAATGTGCAATAATTTATTAATATGAAGTCAATGAAGAATCAAATGAAAATTGAAAAAGAGCATCATAAAAACAATTAAATATTTGAACAGACACAAACGTTGTATTAACTTTTATACATTTCATTCAGAGATTTGGTCTTGTGTCATTTTCAAATTGTCAATGTTTGTCAAAAATACTACTTAACATTTTTTAAAATCTACCTGTAATCACTCTGGTGTAGGTACATTATCTCATAAAATTCTCATTTCGAATTCAAAACTTTCAAATCAGGAAATTTTAGTCCTTGCCTACTTGCAGATGCAGGTAAAGATTGTCCAGAATTATATGAATTTTATGGACTCCCAACGTTAATTTATTTTACAGCCCAGGCGTCAATTCTATTGTACAGGTAAAGAACCTGTCAGGGGAAAGCCGATGTTTTCTGTACCTGAGTTCACCCCGCTCTTCAGCTGTACAATAAAATTGACAACAGGGCTGTAAAACAAATTAACTTTGGGAGTCCATAAAATTCATATAATTCTGGACAATCTTTAGTTGGGTTTTCTGGAAGTTGTGGGTAGGGAAGCACTGCGATCGGCTTGAGAAATAGGTACGCCAAATGCAGCGAAACTTACTTCCATAGATTACGACATAGAGATCTGTAGAACATATACCGATATTTTCGGTAACTCACCACCAGGGGACAGCGCCTCTCGAACTTTTAGAATTGACTTTCCGCAACTGCCAGAATTGGCATGCAGACGCCCCCCTTAATAATTGGCATCGCCGTTCTGAAGTGGCCAGCTCAGTCAGTGGATTTAAATACCATTCAGCACATTTGGGACGAGGTAAAAAGACAATGTGTAGGTAAAACATTTTCAACAAGAAAAAGAATTAGTTGAAAACATAGAAAGCATTTGGAAAAGAATTGGCCAACAAATCATTACGAAGTTGATTGATCCATGAAACCAATATGTCGTAAAGTAATGTGATTTTTGTTTACAGTTCGACAATACACTTTAAAAACATGCTTATTTTATGTCATCTGTACTAACACCTCACAAAAAAATCTATCTCTTTTGTTTTGGTCATTCTATTTTGAAATTAATTATATTTTTGGAAAGTTGCTTAATTTATAGATGTCCAGTAGTGTATAGTATGTCTGCAGCTAGTTTTATTGGTTACCTAAGTTTAACATCCTTTCTCGATAAAATTGTGACAAAGTTATATAATCAAGTATATACATATCATATGCCATTTTCTACCCACAGGATTTACCTAGTTCGAATATCGGGATAATATGAGATGGAAAACAACAAGAACCTTCTCCTTTTGTGTTGATATAACTCAACATTCCTGTTAAAATAGATTTTGGTCAAAGATGTACCTTTCACGTTCCTACATATATATCAGTTTTATGCACCCTCTATCTAGGAAGAGAGAAGATCTAAAAGAATATTAATAATGACAACCAGTCTTTCTACTTATATATTATGACTTGTGGTAATAAATACGAAAGTCATTCCACAACCAACCTTGATACCAGATCATTTATACAAGTACTAAAATAAATAACGTGTATCATATTTGAAAGTTTAATTAATAATAAAAATAGTATTTGCAACACATGACCCCTTGCGAGCAAAGACAAGAATTCCACAAAAAAGAAAAACGATATTTTTGAAAATCCCAGTAATAAAATAATTAAGAATCCAATATTCTCAATAGTTCCCTCAAGAGTGTGACTACTTTTTAATGCAACAATTATTACTTTATTTCATAAATTAAACTGTAAAAATTTATAATATGTTTTACGTTTAAACAGCGAGCTGAATGCACCTAAAAAATTCTCCGGTACAAGCTGAGCATACCACAAATTGTATAAAGTGTGTTAATATAAAGAAGCCCGGAAACGTTACCATCAATTTTGAATTATACACCCAGTGAAGAAGACTTAATTAAATCAAATATTAAAACAATCCTTCCTCACCAGCAACAGTCGAAGTAGCTTGATTAAATTGTGTTGTATGTTTTGAAATATTTACCTATTCCATCGATTCATCCCATGCTCCATTTACATAGCACGCAATTCCACTTTTTGAAATTATGAAACAGGATCTCGTTGCTTATTGAGATTTGCGGTTTAACGTCTCACTTCACGACGAAAACCAACTTATTTGTTTTCTTATTTCGGTTTATTTTACCGTAGATTGCGTAAGGCAGAAAATCTACAACTTTTCAGTGTGACCATTTTGTAGATATGCCACCGTTGTTATCCAGAATTAGCAATAAGCCTTTGAAAGAATTCTTCTATGTGCATGCTTTATCCTAGCTTAGCATAAATTATGGCGAAACGCAGTGTAAAATAGCGTAAGAATCCTTTTCGCAAACGACATATAAAAAAAAACTTATTTTAATTTTAAGGTTCTTGCCAACAATATTCACAGCCGATAACTCCCAAATTAACATTTGTATGCAAAAAAAAAAAGGAATATACTAGTCGCCAAAAGAATTGAATCATTGTTCTTAACAGGTGACTAACTTTGGAACATTTTTCCTTCATAGTTTGCCACCTCGTTTTTACAATTATCATCATGAAGCAAACATAAACTGAGAAAAACTAAACAGCATTATACGCTTTCTCTCGAAGTTACACTATCCTACAGTTAGGGTTATTTCAAAAATATTGGAAAGAAATTACGTTAGTAGCGGTAAGAATAAACATTAGAAAGATAGATCATCATCTTAGATCCAAAAAGAGAACAATACTGGAACTATTACTTCCCGATAAAAAAAATTATGTGATGAGTCAAAGTCCTCCCTTGGAAATGACATAAAAAGGAACAAATATGACATGAGGATTAGAATAAAAAAATAAATTCCAAGTATTGGAAGGAAGAGGCACGTAGTTGTGTAGATCATGCCGGCAAAACCCTGGACATAACACTTAAACGATTGCGAACATTTAGAACAACATTTTCAACCACTGCACAGGTACGCTTCGGAGGAATAATCAACTGGAAGAGCCCGCTAAACGTGTACCGTTTTCGGCTAGTTCAGAACAAACCATCGCGTAACAGACTGTAAAGTGAGCGTTTTATTTAATAACCGCGGAGTGAATAAAATTACAACGTGAGAATCTCTTTCGCGAACAACATGCAAATACTTAAGATTCCCCACGCGCAATAATCCAACCGCTATTTTCGTCGCGGACAATTCCCCAAGAAAGTGTCATGTACATTTACCTCGTATAGTCCGTTTTGCAGAGGATCATTCCACCTTTTGTGAAGCACGATGTCCCGATGTCTGCTAACATAGCCGCGCAACACGAACACTTCAAACAGCTATTGTGCCAATAGCGATCTAACGCGTGCAGAAGGAAACGTTCCACTATTTTACCACCGCACCCTGCACATACTTTCACCGTGCCGTTATTATTGTTATTATTGATATTTGGATTATGATGCTGATGATGAGGACCATCTGATTGTGGGCCGCCGAACGGGGGGTGTGGGTGATGATTGTGAGGGTGGCCATCATGGGGACCGCTGGGATGACCTGCAACAGAAATAAACAGTCAGTAGATGTGTCTAGGCAAGCAAAACATTGGCACAATCTCTAAAATGTGCCACGGGAATAAAGTGATAAATAATTCGTCCTTCGAAAAATAAAAATTATAATTTTAAATTTATACAAAGGGATAGAATTTCTAAGTATGTAGAACTCGATGCAGACACTGATACAGCTCTAAGTCGACTCCTATTCATTAAACTACCATAAGAATTTTAGCAAACGTTGTTACTTAGCCGTCCAAAATGAACATGAAGAATCGCAATGAAAAAGTACTTGGTCTAGTTAGTGAGAGAATGACCCGTAGTGACTCAAATTAGTCGTCTACTCTCAACAATATAAACTCATTTCGTCCTCAGTTTTATGCTGAATCTAGGGCCACAAAGATCGGTTAACATATTTATGTAGAATTGACGCGAGTATTTCAGATTGAATTTCGCCATTTTCCGCTAGACGAGTGTGTGTTAAATGTAATACGTATGGCTCTCCTAGTTTCAAAAATTTAATAATGAAAATAAGACCACCATAATTTTAACGTCAATTGAAATTCAAATTTTTATCTTACAGGAAACATCACGTTATGAAGAGACTAATAAATATAGCTGACCATCCAACGTATTTGATTAAAAGTAAATGAAATTTTAAGAAGATGGATACTACTTCAAGATTACAACCACGGTTAGCTATGGTGTTTTTTCTTTGTCTTATAACGGCTTTGTTTGCTCTATTCGGACCTTTTAAGGCATTGCAGGAACTCTATTGTGAAATCGCTTACTCTCGTATCTCACTAGGGAAAGTAACGAACTGTAGAAATATAGTACTAATTGATGGCATGAGTTGTTAAGGCAATGTCGCCTTTCATCGAATTACTGTTAATGTCAAGTCGTTACTCACTCACATTAAAATTACAATTTTGATTTTTTTTTTGTGAAAATCTGGATGCCTAGAGTCAAAAATCAAGTAGGATGTCACTTTATAAAATATAAATAACATCAACACATATGACAGACGACACACGGATGACAAACGACAGACACAGAGACGGAAACGGGAGATCTATTTTTTGACAATCAACGGGCCATGGAAGGTCACAAAATATCATCCGATGATCAATGTATAGCTGGCATCTACCATTAGAATATAAAGATATAAGAAAAGGGACTCGGTCCTTAAATATCCAATGACAGAACTACCGAAGAAATTTCATTACACATATTTAACTTTAAACAAAATTTCGAGAAGAGTTTTCAAACACAGTATACCTATTTCGACACTGAATAGTATGCCTAACAAAAAATGTGTACCTTATATAAAAACTGAACTGCACTGTATATAATATGAACAAATTTATTCATATTTAGTACAACCTAGTAATAGCGTAATAGCAGTTTAAACATACATTTTTCAAATCAAAATAATACAGGAAAGCGTTAACAGTTAATTTGAATAAAACCATGGTTAAAAGGTGGTAATATTGTGTTTTTTTCAGATTGTTATCTTGAAAACGCTGCTGGCCAAGGAAACATATCATCCATCGGCTAGGAAAGTAAGAAACTGTTGCTTTTACACTTATTAACGGTATATCCTAAAGCAGTGATCCCTCGTAATGAGCTCATAGCTTTAGATAAAACGAAATCGTTTTCAGTTATAATATATTAAGTGCATCGCAATGTTATCGATAATTTTGAGCAACAATAACTCGAATGCTTGTTGCATTGAAAACGCACGAGTGCTTTAGCACGAGTGCATTTTTCTTAGGCAACAAGCATGAGAGATTATTGTTGTTCAAAATTATCGATTTCATTGTGATGCACGCAATATATTCAACAGATTATTGCAAGAACAAACATTTTAAAAATAATTTTATAATGATTTACGAAGTAGTTTGGTGTGCGATACTATGGCGACGCAAGTAAATAAGAACAGCCATTTTGCAAAATTTGTGTGGGTTTAAAAAACCATGTCCAATTTTCGTTTTGGTCGTAACACGCCAAAAGAAATTGATGATTCTATTACAAACATTACGCCGCTAAATACGAAGAACTCACGAAATTCAATCTGGAGGCAATTTGAGAAGTTTTGCGGTGAACGCAAATATGTTTTTGATGGAAACACTTCCACGGAAAAACTAGCATTCATCCTCAAAGATTGGGGGTACAATATGAAAAAAGTCGATGGTAATGACTACAAAGAAGCAGTAATAAAAACGATGTGGAATGTAACGGCAAAGCAGTTGCAAGAACTGTATTTCAATAAATTTGGTATAAAGTTTGATCCTTTTGTTGACCTGGAATTCAAGGGTAGTAGAAATGCACGCGACGCAAAACGCCGGAACCTACAAATACAACCGGAAAAACGCAAAACTAGTTCCTCAATTTTGACTCTAGAAGAATACAACAAGATTCTAAAGATTTATAACGAAGACACGCCAGATGGTTTACAGAAAATGTTTTTTTATGTGGCTGGATTAGAATTAGCTTGGAGGGGATGTGAAGGTGTTAACGTTACTATCAAACATTTTAAGGAAGAAAGTGATAATTGTGGTTTGCCTACGGGGCGAATAGAATACAATTGTATTTTTTCCAAAACAGCTCAAGGAGGTAGCCATAAATTAACAGACAGCAAATGGCTTGCAACAAACACCACAGATCCTAGAATTTGCCCTGTTAGGTAATTAAATACTGTTTCAAATACAAAATAATAATTATTTTATTATTTAAGGCTCTACAAAAAAATGCTGAGCAAGAGAGGTAAACATATAACCACCGATCGTTTATTTTTAACGCCAAATCCTGCATGGAGAGAACCTAGTTCTGTAGGATGGTTCAAAAATTCACCCGTTGGAAGGAATGAAATGGGGAAATGGACAAGAACCGCCGCAGAAGAAATAGGCATCGACATAAAGAAAAAGAAGATTAGTAATCATTCATTACGGTCAACTGCAGTGTCGCAACTTGCAAAAGCGGGAGTCGGTGAAGAACAGCTTATAAAGATTACCGGTCATGCCAATACTTTCTCCATCAAACCATACCTTCAGCTCGATGGAGATCATCATTATCAAATGATTGACAAATTACGCGCCAACTCAACGGCTATGGAAGAGTCTAATAACAAATCCACAAATTGCGCACCGTCTGCTTTGGTACAAATGTCTAAAAATATAGTTACTACTTCACCAAGCACACAAACCCCTGTAAATTACTACAACTGTACCATAATTAATTACAATTCTTAGTTTCATAATTAAATATTTGGTTAGTAACCTCTTGTTTTTTTTTGCAATTAACTGGTACTTGCTTATCTTATAGTTGGCACATCTGGCTAGTGATAATTATCGGTAGTGGTAATTGCACAGTGTGCAATTATCACGTAATTGTATGCTGATTGGTTGAATTTACAAATATTGACGCGTTTGATTGGTCAGTTGACATCATGTGACATGTGAGTGCAATAATCTCTATAATTATTACTAACGCCATGACGCAACATTTTTAATGCATATCCGTAACTCAGATGACTTAAACTGGACATGAGTAATTTCAAACAATCGCCAACAAAGAATATAGGCAAACAACGTAGCGTACGCCAAAGTACTGTACTTTTAAACACACATATTTGATTATGGAAATTCTCATTACTAAGTAATTATAACCACGTAGTTGTGCAAAAATATTCGCTACTTTTACTTAAGCTAGGGTTAGGAAGTGAAACTAGTACGTAAGCAACTGCCATGCAAAACTCCCTTAACAATGAAACGAATATGATCGAACAATATTAATTAGCACACATCTTTATGGTGATCTCCTCCTAAAGCGAACCAACGAGAACAGACAGTGTTGACGTTCTCATTGTGCGAGTCCTCCCAAGGTAAGAAGTTCTCCTCAACGGATGTCCTACTTTAGGCTCAAAACTCGAATAAAAAATTGGACGAAAAGGAAGTATTGGTTATTTTTCTTCAATATTTTGCTAAGTATGCTACGACATTTCCATACTCATGAACTTTTTTGGTATGACCTTAAATGTGTGGTGTGCTTCGTAATAGAATTTATACGCATTAATTCTTGTTGCCTTTTCATTGCATTGAAACAAAATTCCGTTAATATTAACTTACACTTGGAAAAATTAATTATACACATTTCAAGCAGATAGTGTACTGATTTTAAAGTGATGGAGCTGCCTTTTGTTCAGCAGTCTGGATACACAATAAAGCCCTGCAGAGTCAGAGATGAACATTAGCAAAGAAAACACTGGCTGCCAAAAACATCTCTTATAAAAGAATAAAAAATATAAAACCAGAACTTCCTGTAAATCGAAAACACGTTTAATTACAGTCACTTCATTCGCATTAAACAACCTAATAAGAAGGTGAATTGTTCAGAATTATTGAAAAGAATTTTGTGCCATGAATGTAGAAACTTATGCTAAATAAATACAGAAACGACAACATTTACAGTTTATTGAAAAGTTTGAAATGAGAAGAAAATACTTGACACCTTTTTAATGAACAGTGTGGACCAGCTTACGTGGAATATAATTGCAACAAAAGTGGGAAATATGACTAACAAAAAGGTGGAGTCTCATTGCGAATATCCCAGAGATTTGCACTCGGACCAATTCTATCTACAATTCTATAATGTCTCAGTCTCCAAGTAATATTTCAATAATAATTGTAGAAAATAGAAAATTATTAAAATGAAATTCATAATACAACAAACTAATGATCGGTTTAAGAGCCACAAAATGAGACTGAGGAAGAGATACTTTAAATTTTTGGTACGGAAACCAAACTAAAACTAAATTTACACATTGTTAAAATACCAAATAACCTTATATCATTTTCAGTTGGAAGAGTCAAAAAATGGTGACTCATATAATCATACTAAGCAAACTCTTATTCCATAAGCATTCTATCTAATTCTAATATGGGAACGAATACAGATGCTGCACTGTTGGAGAAAATAATGTATGTGGTTTCAATTGGCAAGATTGCTATAAAGAACACTAACAAATATTAATACTAACCATTCCAGTGATCATACTATAAGAAAGTAAAATATGTCAACCTTCATCAAGTGCGGTTTAAACAACACAATATATGCACACAAGAAACACAACAGGAACAGGACCTATGGAAAGAACAAATTATATAACAGGACTCCTCAGAAAGCAAAAAAATGTCCTTGACATGCAGTGCAAATTTCATAGACAACAGCATCTCTATAAGTGACAAACTACTTCTAAAATATGACAAGGAAGTCCACCGTGACTGAAATTTACTGTTGGCCAAGAGTAATTAAAAATTGTTAATCAGTTTAAATATTTTTTTATCCTTTTAGCTTTCAGTACTTTTATAAAAGTATGTTGAATTTAACAGTAAAAAAAAATTCTGAGCAGGTCCCGACTAAATACGTGCGTACAAAAAAAAAAAAAACAACACATAGACCATTACCTAGAGGACCTATTCCGTGTCCATTTGACTGATGCATGCGCAGTTGAGGTCCTCCAGGTCCCGGATGAGCGTGGTAGTTGTTGTTGTCTGGCGACGGAGGGTGCGGAGACGTCAGCTCCGGACCTCCGTAGGAGTGGTAGTGAGGGTTCATAGCGGCTAGGGCGCTGGCTGCCAGTTTGCCGGTAATAGCGCCTTCAGGAGCGCCCACTTTTAACACAAAAATGATCTATCCAAGAACTTTCACGATATCAGAACTCTTGCAAAGGATCTCACCACCCACCTGGAACAGAACAACCCTTGTTACACAACCCTTATTAAAGACTGATTCATATGTTCGCTCAACCTTCGGAAATGTATTCAATTTATTATAGCGAACCGCAACCTTTCTAGACTCCTCGGAACTTAAAAAAATAAGCTTCTGGCATAAACAAGAAAACTCACAAGTAAAAGTTAATTAACTAAGGCCCAAACAAGTGTCAAATTTTACGAAAGTATACCCTCATGTTCAACGCTTTTCACCGACATTTCAAATTTCTTGTCAAATATGGAGCAACCATACCGGTTTATTTGGTTTTTTGAATTCATCAATGAAATTACTTACAAAAATAACCCAACTGGCGGCTTAGATTAAAGAAATAAACACTTTTCATAAAATATGAAAAACTTAGAGCTATTGGTTTTGGTATCATATAATGGTTCTATTTCGAAATGTAACGTTGCTTCCAGTGGAGTATCTCAGGGGTCTAAACTAGGACCCCTTCTTTTATTCTTATTTATGAACGACTTGAACTTGTCTATTTCTATCTCTTGCAAATCGCACCTTAGAAAAATCGTCTGCCGACTTGTTTTCTAATTTTGGAACTCGAACTCCAACCTTACGGAACCCGTCTTTTAATATAAGTATTTTTATTAATGTATATATAACGTTAGAACTGCGCAGGACAAAATTATAGAACTGAAATACTTATACCGACTATTGCATAATCAAATCGGGTGTTGTTGTATAACAGGATAGTTGAATTTTTTTGTACCAAGACTATCTTCTCGTATATACCTAACTTTTTATGTAGATTCATTCAATCCGAGTGTATTGGGAAACTCTCCTGTCTCATTTACATGTGCTTCGTATAATCGTCAATTGTCGTCTAATTTTAGGAATGTATTTTAGAAATATCTGTGTGTATATGGTAAAACGCTAACCAAAATTGGTTAGCGCTTTAGCATTCCCACCAATAATGTGATGACGTCACCTCAAAATTTGTATAGTAAAAATAGAATATTCCTACACTTGTGGTATATGAATCTGTCACGACTTTTTACCCTAGATATCCAGATGTTTAGAAAAAATACAAAAAATTACAGTCTGATTTTGAAACTGCAAAACACAATGCTCCAAAATCTTGCAAGAAAGAAATTGGCTTTAAGTATTTCAATATTTGAATATTCCAAATCAATTAACAAACTGATTGTTTTGAAAACCCGATAGAAATACACGGAGAAATCCAAATAATAACTGGCGCCGTGAAAGATTTAGGAAAACGAATGCAATGGCACCAAATAGAAGACGTTGGTTAAATAAGCCAGATAATTGGGTTGATTACTGCTGATGATAAAAAAGTTATCTACGTTTGTCCTGGACAGCACAAATGATACGAATAATAATTGACGACTTACAAACGTGAAAGAATTAGGGAAACGAATACCGTGCGACCAAATAGGAGACGTTGATCAAACAAGGCCAGATAATTGGGTTGATTCTACTCTTGTTAAAAAAGTTATTCAGACTTATTCCCTGCAGCATAATATGATAACTGAATGATCCGATGGAGTGACAATTTCAAGCGTAATTTTTAGCAACAATTTACAAGAAAAAATGTTGCATTTTTAAGTTATCTTTACGCAAAAACTTCACTAGATTGTGGTGTATTAAATTGACTAGTGTGATAGTATCCTCCTCAAAAAGAAGTTTATTTATCCTAGAAAGCACCTGTAAGCTGTGATTAATATCTACTACTAAGTATAACTAACTAATTTTCTCTTTTCGTTATTTTTAAATAAATTTTGTACGTATTTTCTCTCTTTTGCACATGTGACGGAATATCTAGGAATAATTCCACCACTAACTACTCGATTTAACGCGTTGCGGTATCGATAATAAGAAAGAAATAAATCAAAATGATTAAAATTCTTGCTGAAATTGTTTATTGCAGAACATACCAACCATACACATTGTTATGTCTATAATCGTAAATCTAGCCATAAAGTTACCATGGCTTGTTTATACGGTTCCGTTGGAAGCAAATTAAAAATAACGTGGTCCCGAAGAAAATAATACCAATATAACTCTCAATAATAACACCAACTGATCGCTGCAATATTATTTTCTCTCGGATAATTGGTATATCAACCTCTTGTTTTGTATCGTCTATTTTTAAACGTGAGCATGATTTATACACTACAAAAGCAAAGATATAAATCGGAAAAACTCATCCAGAGCAGACTTTTTCCTACCGGATTTATCTCCTCCGATTTATAATCAAATTAGCTCTTCGTACGGCGAAAAATTACCAGCGGATATGTTCATCATCAATTTAGCCAGTGTATGTTTTGGTTTTAAAAAGGGGTTGGCCGTTTCGCAAGCCGAGCGGCTTGGGTTATTTACGGACAAGTCCAAGGCTGTGTAATTTGTAGCTCCACTTACCGACATAATAACAGTTGTAAGGTGGTTTACCTACAAACTTATATTTTAGAGCCTGGGATTAAACTTGTGTTGGCTCTGACGCCAAGTCCGAGACCAAAAGAACACACCGGCCGGCAACGCCAGGGGCGGAACCGAAGACATTCAACAGGGTAATGATATTTCCGACATTTAGAACACATTCCAGCCCCCTTAAATTAGACTCTCAAAAGCTATTAAAGGGCTATCGAAAAGAAATGATTACGAAAACGAGAATCCTTCAGATTATAACTGTTATTAAAACGAAGGTAACGTCACACACAGGATGAATCTTAACGTCTGACAAGGTGTTATTTTCGGAAAAAGCTATCATTTTTTACGTTATAAGCTGACGTCTGAGTGCGGTTTTGATGGTGGAACAAGCAAATCTTTCGGATTCATTATTATCGTTCGATTTCTGGTCAAGTGTGTTAAATGACTGTAGCGGATTTCGGTTCGCTCTCTTTTGTCAATTAAATTCAGGCAGTCTGGGAAAGCACTTTATCACTTAAGCAATTATTTTTACGAGCTTGTTAAAACTACTAACTAAAACTCAAAATAACAAATGAGTACCTAAAGATGTAGTCAAAATTAAGAACTTATATTTTAATTCGATTTTAAATGAAAGCTGAAAATTATATTTCAAATTAGTCTTTTAGTTTAGTAACGAAGCAATTAAATACTGTGGTGACCATTTTATGTTAGCAGTACTTACAACAGCATTTGTTCCCGCATGAATTGCTTTGTATTGTTACGCCTAAATGTTTTTAATGTTTGCTTTTTTCGTAGAATACGTAAATTGATCAATTGTACGCTTCTATTGTTACACAAAAAACAGAACACAACTTGTGTAACACAAATCACTTCAATACTGCCGGAATAAAAAAAAATAGCATTTTTCAATGAATAATAGTATCAAGTACAATTATTTAAAATATTTAATATATTTTTTTATTAAATAGTAGATGTGTATGAAAATTTAAAGACACCTATCAGATTGCTTCGAAATTTTGATGCAAAAAATCATCAATCTCTACTAAAAAAGCAATTGTGTGTAGGTTTATTATTTTTTATTAATTATGTATTGTATATTATTAAATGAAGGTAAAAATTCGTCAATTTTATTGAAGCTGAAACGTCAAATGTCTAAACAAATAACATACAAGAAAGAAAAAAGGACGCATTCCAATATATGTTAGATTGTGTACACATTTCGATAGATTGCTACCTTACGTATGTATGAAAATAAAATAAAGTTTTTCATTCAATGGATTTCAGATTCAGAGTCATTTCGGCCCTGGAGTTTAATTCAGTCCGAATGAGAAAGTAACATCGATCATTAATTAAACCTCTTTTTTAATTCCTTGGTAATTAACATCCGGTTCGACACAGCACCTGTCTAATAAATAATCTGACTGCAAATTTCAATAATTCCAATTAGTTAAATACGACTTCAGTCATTGAAATTTGGTCTAATTATCGTAATTTTTTTCTGATTATAATAAAAGGGGCCCACGTAAAATTGAGGCAGCTCGATATAATTTGATTTGTATCGGGAAAAAATTGTAATATCCGCATGTTTTATTCACGCAATTTATTAAAAGGTAATTATTCTCGATTTCAATAATAAACAGACCCCAGCGATGGTATCAGCAAAGTCGATATATTCTCGTGGCATGAGAAAGCTATAAGCTCTTAGATGATCTTAATCAAATAGTGAATTAATCTTCATTAAAAGTAACTTAGGAACCATATAATGAACAATTAAAAGGAGCCGCCTCTCGTTTTCCTTCCCGCAAGTTTATACTTTGCTTCAAGATTTTAGTTTCATTGGCGTAACAAGTGGGATCTCGAGAGATTTGCTCGCCGCCTCTAATTCATTTTACTCCTTTCGTCTTTTTTATTGGAATTTACACAGTGTTCCAAGGAAGGATTAGTTCGAATTACCGTAATAATTTCACGTGTGACGAGTTAATTGCTTTGTAGGTGTCCGTCGGGGCAAATTTCATACGAAATTTAATTACAACTTAATTTTTCGGTGTTAAAATAATATCTAATTTTCCTTTTTTACGGACAGGGTGCGCTTTAAAAAGCAATTACCTTCCCCTACACTGTAACATAATTACAGTTCCCTATTCGGAAAAAAAATCGGTCCCTTCTCGATGAAATAACCGTTCGTTCCCACCCCTAACTGTAATAATTTCTACGCCCCGGCCCTTACTGCTCAGATTGTAATGCAATATTGCTTATATTGTAATTCGTTGCAATTTATGTTATTTAATCATACATATGCTAAAGAATTATGAAATACGGTTCGACGCATTTCGTGTCCTTTATTAAAAATCGTCAAAACTGTACGTAGAAAGTACACAGTTCATTTTACGTATTTTTCAGAACAGCTAAAATAAACTAAAAACTAGAGTTTTCAATACCCATTAAATAAGCACATTTCCTTTATCCATTGAAGAATACATAAAAATGGATTGTTTCTGCCTGAAAGATGCTTAAATTCATCAGGTGACTTCATAGGGTTTGAAAATTATCATCAAAATTATTTTGTTGGA